CCTTTACTATTATCGTACTTATTGTCGTTGATGCGGTTTTATACACGATTTTCGCATCCGTTGCTAACCAATTCTTCACAAAATCCCCGTTTTATTGAGACCAAAATGGCCTTTCGCCGCGGTGGCTATGGAAGTCAAGCTGTGGCTTTATGGTCATATGGTTTTTATAAATTTTGCGGAACGATTAAGCTCGTCAGCGTCTTTAAAATGCGTGTATTCTATGCCATTATATCAGCTATCTTCTTGAACTGCGCTCTAATTAACATATACCTCTCAAGGAGAATTTGCGCTCGTGCAAAGAAGCTGCGAAGCAATGTATCCGGATCAGGATTGTATTGAACTTTGCATAGCGGTGCCGTATTGTGTCGGAATTTTGGTGATAGGTATGGCAGGTTTGAAAATTCGCATCATACCTGAAACACCTAATTTTTGGGCTAAAGATTGCAAATAGTGTAATTTTCTACAGCGTAGGTGAACAATTATTTTTCCCAAAAATATTCGTATTATGTTTTACGAGTTTTTACGCGTTTTTAGACTCAAAATGCCTTCTCTTAAACGCTACTGGGACACAGAATTACCCCAACGCTTTCCTGATGCTTCGTGGTACCGGCGCCTCGGCTTATCAAATGGAGAACTGTCGCGGCTATAACAACGAGAGTGAGTTCATGAAAACAGTAGTGCACCTCATGTCACTATCCTTTCAGGCAGCACCACGCCAGCCGTTTACACTTGTCCGTTAAGCAGGAGTACCGAGTATTCTTGTGGAGCAGCCTGGTTTAAAGTTAGGGTAAGCTGAGAGAGCGAGAGAGAGAGAGAGAGAGAGAGAGAGAGAGAGAGAGATTTGGCATTTAGATAGCGCCAAATACAAAATGTGCGCCAACTTGTGCCTACTGTATCGCTGATACGAGGGCTTGTTACACGATACGTTCAGCTGAAGATATGGCAACCGCACAAAGTAGCTTGGGCTTAGCCTAGGCTTAGATTTAGGCCTAGGCTTAGGCATAGGCTCGTGCCTACTCAGATTGTACTAAATTTTAGTTTAGTAATGATTGCTCGGTACGACCCAGCCTCTCTAGCGTGGACAGGAGTAATTTACGACTCTACAAAACCCGCAGCAAGCCGATGGTTGACAAATTGCACCGGCACCAAAAATTATACGGCATGGCTGGGAGCAGATCTACAATTGGCACGGCAAAATGATCCCACCACGACGCTGTGGTGCCATGCGGTAACCTACTACTTTTCATTAAAATGGCTTTCAAAATATTGGCCTAAATTATGTCTTAGATCAACTTCACGCACAGCTTATTTGTGCCCTGCACTAAGACATCACTGGAGTATAAGATTTGTTATAGTAAACAATAAATTAATTGATTTCATGTGATTTTTACGCACAATATACCTATCGTCGGTATTTAATGAATTTTGTGGTTTTTCTAGAGATTTCGTGAAAGAAGAGGTATCAGGCCGGTTTTATTAACTTATTAGGTACGTTTCAATAACGTTCACGTAGGTTGAACTTATTCACAGAATCGACAAGTCTTCGGGCATTGCTCTTGCATGACGCTCAGCCAGGCCTAGAATCCAGGTAATTTGCATTTTCTAGCTTTTCTTACCGAATTGGTACACAGTGCCTCTCTGTCCTTGCAATCCGACTTTCCGGTGGCGGGGTTGATTTTGTCGGCGCAAGGAGTAGTAGCTGAAAGAAATAACCATCAAAGCGACCAGGTTTGGGGGAGGTTTAAAAACCTAGAAAATACGTAAATCACGAAATATCGTTTTTAGATTTCTTTCTACTTTTAGAACGTTTCGTTAACTGGCCATCTAAATAAGTATCGAAGTTATCTAGAGCTAGGAAGCTTTCAAAAACTACGCAGAGTTACAACTTACGATTAGTATTACAAAGCCCGCAAGTGACTGGGCATTGCTGTTGCATCAGCGTGTAATAGACGGAGTTCCTGCACTGCGCCACACTGCTCGAACATGTGCTCCGGGTGGTACCGGCCTCGCACAGATCTTGGCAGGCCACTAAAAGACACTCTAAAAATAGCACAGGAAAGATAGAAAAAGATATTAAAAACCACGAAACCGATGGAAAAAGGAAAATGAATGCCGAGAAGGCGCGCGGAATTTGGTGCATTAATACTTGCTTCCATTTGCTTTCGCTTGATCTCGATTTTTGATAAAATGGAGATGTAATTTAATAGTTTAATAAAGACAATGAAACCATTAAACCTACACATAGCCTTCTGGCAGCACACTTTATTCTTCGAGTCGCGGAACGCACATGTTTCATTAGCGCTGCAAGTGGCCGACGTGGTGCAAGCTAAAAACAAGTAGACTTCGGATTAGGCTAAGGCTGAGTGTTGGGCTTAGGCGTAGGCTTAGCTTAGGTTTAGGCTTCGGCCTGGGCTTAGCTTAGGCTTAGCTTAGGCCTAGCTTAGGCTTAGCGTAGGCCTAGTAATTAGGTAAATCTTACTCTTCCCAGTCATCCTACAATAATTCGTAATAGCCGCGGTAGCAGCGCCAAAAGCACAGACAAATATGACAATTTTAGCGGTCATCTGGAGTAAAGGATAGAATGCAACTTTAAGGCTTTGGTTTGGATACTTATACCAAAATTTGGGGGAGTCACGGGCCTTTTTTATTGTGGGAATCTAGACGGCGGGCGCTGCCACGCAACAGCTATGCTAACAGCGGCCCGGCAGGGTTGCCGAATTCGGAGTAATCTAATGAAATTGAGGTACAATCTGTAAATTTTAGTTGGTCAGGAATGTAATTTTTGATGCGTTTGACAGGCTTGTCTCGAAAAGTGGAATCTCAGTGCAGTAGTCTTTCTTAAATTGTGTAAAGGATGCATGATTTATTAAATGACAGTTGTTATTATCGTCGTTAGAACGAGTTTTTAGCCGCTGGTGCAGTATCCGCAGGTCTTGCGGCACTGCACGCTCATCACGCTGTTGTACGCCTAAAATAGATTTTCGTGTATTTTTTGACATTGATTTTGTTGATTTTTTTCATGGTCATTGTTTTAACAAACCGAGTTCGAGCATAGTGCGACGTTTTTCAGGCATTCCGAGACGTTCACGTCGGCGCACGTGGGGCTACCTAATAGTGGAAGACGCATTAATGGACATAATGCTATTGCTTAGGCTTAGCTTAGTCTTAGGCATAGGCATAGGCTAGGCTTTGTCTTAGGCTAGGCTTTAGGCTTGGATTCAGGCTTAGGCTTGGGCTTAGGCTTGTACCCAGGCTTAAGCTTCTACGTGGGCTTACCTTCGGCTAGGCTTAGGCTTAGGCTTATGCGTAGGGCTCGACATGATTAAAATCATAAAACGTACCCGAGCACAATCCACAAGTCGCAGGACATTGCGTCGTGATGAGAGAGGTATAGTTGGGGTCGCTGCACAGGCCGGAGGCTTTGTTGCTGGCGCAGGTGTTTGACGTCGTCCCGGCTACGTTCAGATCCTGGCAACCGACTAAAAAATTTTTTATGCAAATATTGAGCTGAAGGGCAACGTAAAGGTTGAAAAGGAGGAAGAGAGCGAGAGAGTCACGGTTACCAGCTACGGTGCTGTCCCAAAAATCAAGAAAAACTTACGGTTAGCAGTCGCGCAGCAAACCTTGTTCTTGTTGTCGCGGTTGACGCAGGTTTGGCCAGACGCACAGGTAGCGGACGTTGTGCAGGCTGAAGGAAAATTATTATACCCGGCTCGCAAACAATTGGTCTTGGTGAAGACTGAGGTCTGCCTTCCGTGTATCTTTAAAAAAACGAAAAATGGGTCTTTAAAGGGATAAGGACGGCATAAGTTAATCGATGTCCTAGAGAAAATGTCTCCGCGCCTCTCCCCTAGGCGCGCTGTCTGCCCTGTTGGCTACTTACCAAAAAATGTAAGCCCCCCATCGAACTCATAATGTCGAAAATCGTTATCGAAACTTCACTACGTCGAATTCTCATAATGTCGAGATTCAGAATGGCAAAATTTACATAGGCAATATTCCCGGAAAATCTCCCAGCGCAAGCTTCTCAGTTTCGGCATTATGAAATTTCTGTATTATGAATTTCGACATTATGAAATCGTGAAGGCTGAAAACCATGATTTCAATCGCGTACCCGTGCCGGTCACCTTGCAGTAGTTCTGCACGACGGCCGAGGCAACTCCGAAGCAGCACACGAGGAGGATAAGCTTGGCAGCCATTTGCTAGTAGTGTAGTATCGTGCCGTTCTCGGGTATTTATACGCAAAAACTGAGCCCAACTTTTTCAAAGTGACCTTAGAAACGAGCCGTGGCAGTACGGCTATATCAACACATTCCTCCGGTCAACCCCCGTGGGTTTTCCGGAAATTTCCGGAAAAAGTCATCAAAAACCGGCCCTCGCGGCTATGCAAAGACTCGATACTGCGGAATTTTTGGGTTTTTCAGTGAAGTCTATGCAAAAACTGAATCAGTTTTTTCGAATTGAATACAAAAAGTAGAGAATAGCAAGTACATGCTTTACTTTGTTCTAACCGGATGATACACCTTTTTCCTTTTTTTATATTTTTAGGACATTTTAACGCACTATATTTCGAGGTTAAGAAAAAGATGATAACGATAACAAACTGTGGTTTCTTCTCAATTTTCAATTGTAATTAATTTAATTTTAAACTTAAATTTTTATTGTAAACGACCGGAATTTTAGGCTTTTGCTTTTCTGTAATTATCCTAAAATAGCATGGCTATAAATTGTTTGCAATTAATATGATACTTTGCTTGAGTTATAACTTCTAATTTTCACATGGTTCATACTACAAGAAAAAGGACTAAAGGATCTGATCCACTAATGCGTTTTTCGTACTTTCTTCCGCTGTTCCGGAACTTTCTGCCCATGCGTCTTTTTGTAATTTCTCCGTTTCTTTCGATTTTTAGCTTTATTTTTAGGGCTCAGTGTGCCAATTTTGGTTTTACAGAGCTCAGGACCTTTATTAAAATAACTGCGCGGCAGACAGTTTTATTTTACTTTCCGGAGCAGAATCCGCAGCTCCTCGGGCACTGCTGGGTCATCAGGGGGATGTACACCTGGAAAATTGACATCAGTTGATCGTTTCTCTCATTCACACGCTCTCACGCACGCCCTCTTTCTCTCTCTCTCTCTCTCTCTCTCTCTCTCTCTCTCTATCTCGCTGTCTCTCTATCTCCTATCTCTCTATCTCGCTTTCTTTTTCTCACCGAGTTTGCGCAGAGTCCAGACGCGGCCCGAGCTGGGCAGTCCGACACTCCAGTAGATGGGTTCAGTTGGTCAACGCATGTGGTGGAGGAAGAGATAACCGAGGAGCTGGAGCATCTACCACAAGTCGCAGGGCACTGGGTGGTCATCACGTCGTAGTAGGTCTAAAACGGGACATGTATGCCGAGATCGAGGAAAAGTGAGCGAGAGAAAGGAGAGAGGAAGAGAAAGACAAAGCGAGAGAAAGAAGGCGAGAAAGAACGAAACCAAAGCTTACACCATTGTTGCAGAGATACGCGCGTGATGGGCAATCTGAGACTCCGGTGCTCGGGTTCAGCTGGTCAACGCAAGTTGTCGAGGTGGAGATTGAGCCTGAAAAAATCACTTTATTCTGTAGAAGCTCCTTGAAGTCTAACTCTCTCTCGTTCTCCATATCTTTAGCTCTATATTCTATCTCGTTTCGAATTCGTGTAGCGATTAACCGGATCCAGCCCAAAAATTACTGGAGCTACAGTATCCACACGTCGACGGACACTGCTGTTGCATCAGCGCGGTGTACTGGCTGTTCGAGCACAGGTATGCTTGGCCGGCGCACGTCGAAGTGGTGGTTCCGGCGGTGAGAAGATTAGCACAGGTGCCTGGAAATGGTTAGAATGGGAATGAGAGCATGAGCAGTAAGCCGAGATGAAGCAACGATAGTTTAAAAACCTACGAGAAGCCGTTGGGCAGCAGACCTTATTCTTCGAGTCACGGTACAGGCAGGTGTATCCGGTGGAGCAGACGCCAGTAGCGGTGCAGGCTAAAAAGATTGGGCGATAATTGGAGCGAGAGCGAGATAGAGCGAGAGAGAACGAGCTTGAGCGAGTTGAGAGAGAGCAAGAGCGAGCTACAGAGAGAATGAGCAACGAATACAATCTGAAATTCCTTACAAGTCCCCGTCACCGAGCAATAATTGTAGACGATCCCCGCGCAAGAGTGGACGAAGAGGAGCACGACCAATTCAGTCTTCATTTTGCAGAAACTCTGTTAAAGTCTGGCAATCCTGAGTCCAGATCTTCCTTTTATAGCGAACCCGCCGACATGCTGAAACTTCACCAAAAAAGGGGCCAAAAACGTGGATGACTCGAGATCCGGCCAGTTGGTTAAACAAGCTGTTCCTGAAATTAGGCTTTCCCGCAAGCGCCCCTCGCCCTGGCGGTCATGGCTTCGCAAATATGAAATTGGAGTCTGTGATGGATTCCGTAATCAAAAACCTTTTTAGCTTAGGGTTAGACTTAAAAGGCTATGGCGCTTACAATTAGCTTAGGTGAAACTTTGGCTTCGGCTTAGGCCTAGACGTAGGTGGCTTAGGCTTAGGGCTGGTAGGCGGAGGCTTAGGCTTCGGCTTAGACTTGCTCTCCTTCCCTTTTGTGCTCACTCTCTTCCTCTTTCTCACTAACGATCTCTCTCTCTCAGAACGATCAAGCGTGCGTATAGATTTATTAATTTCCCTTATTATGTTTGCGATTTCTCATCGCTAGCAGTATCCACAAGTGTACGGGCACTGCTCTTCCATCAAGGACTGGTAGCGTGTGGTAGCGAAAGTTAGTCTCTTCTCTCGCTCTCTCCCTTCCTCTCGCTCTCTCGCCCTCTCTCTCTCTCACTCTCTCTCTCGCTCCCTCTTCCTTACCGTATTTGTGCAGAGATACGCATCGGCCGGGCAGTCCGATACTCCAGTCGAAGGGTTGAGCTGATCAACGCAAGTTGAAATAGACTCATAGTCAGTATCGTATGAGCTTGAGCATCGATCACACGTTGCAGGGCATTGCATGGTCATCACGGAATAGTAGGTCTGAAAGGGCTTAGGCATCGTCATAGGCATAGGCTTAGGCTTCGCATATGATTCGCTTGGGCTTCGTTAGGCTTGGGATTAGGCTTTGGCTTCGCTTGGGATTCGCTTAGGCTTCGCGTGGGCCTATGCGCAGGCGTAGGCTTAGGCTTAGGCTTCAGCGTAGGCTGAGGCTTAGGCTTAGGCTTACCGCATCGTCGCAGAGATAAGCACGAGATGGGCAATCGGATACTCCGGTGTCCGGGTTGAGCAGATCAACGCAGGCTGTGGACGAGGAGATAGAGCCTAAAATAGCGAACTTGAGTGAGAGAAAGCAAGAAAGAATAAGCGAGTTTGAGTGAAAGAAAGAGCATGAATTTGAGCTACAGTATCCGCAGGTCGACGGGCACTGCTCTTTCATCAGTGAGGTGTAGAGAGTGTTCGTGCAATACGCAGCATCGCTGGCGCAAGTGGAAATGCTGGTTCCGGCTTCATCAAGGTTTGCACACGACCCTGAATGAGTGTCATCTTACAGAAGATTTAGGAGGATGAGGAGATTTATTTATGAGGATGAGGATTTGAGAGGCTTAACGTATGCAAATATAGAAAACTTACGCGACGCGTTCGGGCAGCACACGAGATTCTGCGAGTCTCGGTACAAGCACGTTAGACCGTTGGAGCAGGTGGACAGGAAGGAGGTGCAGGCTAAAGGGGATGTTTTTAGAGGAGCGAGAGAGAGAAAGAGAGAGGGGGTGAGAGAGCAAGAGAGCGTCGAAACAGAGACAAAGCGATGGAACAGAGAAAAAAGAGACAGAGAGCAAGAGATGATTGGCATCAACCCCAGGAATTATGATAGAGCTTACAAGTTCCGGTCGATGCGCAGTAATTATAATAAACCGCGTAGCAGCTTTGAATCAAGAAGAATACAGCCAGTAGCATCCTCATTTCGCCAAAAACAGTGATCATTGACAGTTTAAACTAAAGCTTTTATACACGATCCCACCCGGCACCAAACTGCACAAGTTGCAGAAAAACGCTTCATAAATTCTGGCCCTTCTCTTCTCATTACCGGTTGTATAAACACAATAGCCGATGAAATATGCGTTTTGTTGGTGTTGGAGCTGAATGGGAGCGCCTCGAGCCGTTATTAGGCAAATAGGGAAAGAGATCTGAAGCGGAATTTGGTTCGGAAGTGAGGGATTTTTGAGCGGTGAGCCGGGATTGGCAGCTGTAGGTGAAAAGTGACGCCAGGTGGGGCAAAAACTGTTACAGCTGCGTGCAGATTTGAAGGCGTGAAGCAGATCGCGATGAAGCGTTCCCTTGTACAGTAAATTAGCAATTTATGAAGTCGTAAAGATGTAATAGAAAAATCGATTATAACTGGCTTGACCTCATACTGTCGAAATTCAGATTTCCGAAACTCATAACCGGAAAATTACATAAGTTTGAAAATTCCAGACGTCTAAATCGCTAAAAACATTTCATGATGTCGAAATTCTAAACGTCAAAATTTTTGCATTGCATTTGGAGCCAAACCCTCACCCGCGGTTAGCCTTCAAAACACTGAGGACCACCTACGGCCACAACTAAACAAAAAAAAACAAAAATGGCAAGTTTGTACAAAGTTTTCGATAGCAGAAAAAAGTCTTCCAAAAAATCCCGGGTAGTTTCAACGTTGCCATGCCTTTTCCGGTTTACCGCTTTTCTGAATCAACGTTTTTCGTGTTTCTTTCGTGCTCATGCAAAGAGATTGCACACTGTTTTTAAAAACCACAAAATGAAATTCGATTGTTTATTACGTAGAAAGCTTATTATCTCGTTATCCCGAGCAATATCCGCATGTCCTGCGGCACTGAGTTTGCATCAAGGTGAGGTAGCTCTAAAATTCTTTGTTTTTTCCAATTTTTCAAGTTTTAAAATTACTGGAAAACCGTAAAAAACCTACCGGGTTTGTGCACAGGTACGCACGAGATGGGCAATCGGAGACACCAGTGGAAGGGTTGGTCAGATCGACGCACGAGGTGGTAGAGATGGTACCTGAAAGGAATGATGAAAAGACAGGGAGGGTGAGAGCGAGAGAGGGACGGAGCGAGAGAAAGAGAGATAGAGAGAGATAGAGAGAACAAAAGGTAGAGCCACCCACCGGAGCTACAGTATCCACAAGTGTATGGGCACTGCTGCTGCATCAACCCGACGTAGTAGGTGTTGCTACAGTAGGCAGATTGGCCAGCACAGGTTGATACACCCGTGCTCGCAGCCACCAAGTTGGCGCATGATCCTGAAGTTCCGGTTTTAGGATTACGGTATCTCGCTTACGATAAGCGGTCGGGCAGCAGACCTTGTTGATCGAGTCACGGAACAGGCAACTGTATCCGGCAGAACAGGTGCCACTGGTCGTGCAGGCTAAATTTAAGAATTGATGGACTTTATACGTATCTCGCGCTCGCTATCTTTCCCTCGCTCTTTCTCACTCTCTCGCTCCCCCTCTCTCTCCTCTCTCGCTCACTCTCTGCCACGTTCTTACTAATTCTATTCTGTTTCCGTCTATCTGTCGATGTTTCCCTCTAGATCTCAACTCTCTTGCTCTCTCTTTCTCTATCTATCTATCTCTCTGGCGCCTTTGATCCCATTATTGGTATCACAATATTAACTCACAAGTTCCCGTAGTAGTACAGTAGTTGTAGAGGGCAGAAGCGGAGTTCGCGAACAGAGCGAAGACGAGGAAGGAATTCATTTTTGAATTTTGCTTGCCATCCTTGACCTCCGTTCCGTATTTATACCAAAATCATTGGACATCCGTTTTCTGGAATCACTCTGCAAAAAACGCTTTCCGCTACGTGGTCCCATCCTGGAAACACCAGTTGTCTAAATAAATTCACTAGATTTTGTGCACGTTCCGGCGTGCACCTTGCCCCCCGATTCGTCATTTGTAAATAGTAGGAATTTGTGAACGATGGTCAGGAATACATGCTGAAAGCTTTGTTTGGACAACGCAAAATAGAGAATAGTTGTGGCTCTGTAGATTCGGGGTTTGCAATTGAATGCAAGGCTTAGGCTTGTGATTAGGCTTAGGTTTAAGCTAGGGATAGGCATAAGCTAGGGTCAGGTATAAGCTTAGGCTCAGGCTTAAGCATAGGCTTAGAATTACGCTTAATCTTGAGCTCATGGTTCGGGTCTCGAATGGTTTTCTGCTTCTCTTGCAAATCTTTTGTGCGGCATCTGGTCGGATGTAAATATTCATTGTTTGCCGCCCTCATTGATCCGCGCGACGCTCGCCCCGTCGAACATCGTTTCGATTGCTCTCTGGGATTGCATATTCCGATTAACGGGGTATGGTTTGCCTGCACGATCAAAATTTGGAAACTTTTTTTGTCTCGCCGAATTGGTTACGCCATGAAAACGCGATAGTCTTATCCCCACTGTTTGTCCCCTCCATTCTCTACCGCTCCCTAGCACGATGCGCCCCAATTGCTTACGCTATAACAATTTAGGGTAAGACTTTACCCCACCGCCTACAGTCGAAGGGCCTCAAAGTTTTCGGTATTTTTGCTGATTTTGTCGGGATTTTTGCAACGCGATTCGATAGAGTGTCGAAAAATATACTAAGACTTTTAATTTGAGCCTACAATAATGTAAAATAAAAAAGTTATAGCCAAAAACTAAAGTGAAGCGTCGCCCAATTTAGGCAAAAAACAATAGCGGAAGAAAGATACATTTTTCTTACATATTCGGGCAAACCAGTAGCTTATTTGACACCCTCTGAGTTTTTGGCAAACCTTGCAAAACTCCTGCAAGGTTCGAGCAACCCTCAATTTTTGGCTACTAACTAACCTAAGTTCTACGGGTTATTTGAAAAATCGGAAAAAGATGTTCTCGGCCTTCATAATGGCGCAATTCATGATCTCGAAGTCTCATAAAGTAGAAAATTGAGTATTTCGGGATTTACATACAAAAAGCTCCCGAAAAAACACCCAGATCCTATGCAAAAACATTCGATTTTCTGAAATTTTCAAATTAGTTTTTCGACGTAATGATTTTCGACATCATTATGGGCATCAAATGTGCACTTTTTTACACCTTCGAGTTTTTTCCATTGTTACCTTTCCGGTTTCCAGCCACTTTAAAAATCCGATTTCAGGGAATGTCGAAACCGTTGGCATACCTCTCTTGCCCTCGCTGCCACCAACCATACACAGCGGACGCGACGCGGGAGCCGATGGCAAGCCTTGCCGACTACGGCGTGTGGAAGCTGTGCTGTTCCGATTTTCGCTGTCGCTATACCCCATCAAAGACCGTGGTCCTCCAGGATATCCGGAAACTCCTCGAGCAGCCGGGATTGAAGAGATTGCCGGGCACCAATGTGTGGAGCGCAGTAGGACCTCTCAAATTCCTGCGGTGCCCGCATTGCAATGCCAAATTCACTGGATCTGGCGTCAATCTACCGATTCTATTTCAAGACTGCGGACACATGATTTGCCACAAATGCCATGTGAAAAATCCGGGGCAGTGTGCTTGCACCGTTAGACCACTTAGGTGGATCTGCAAATACCTGGATTTATCGTTCGTCGAGAGGTAGGTGGACGTCTTCGCATAAGCCCAAGCCCAAAGCCTAAACCTAAGCTTATGCAATACATAAACCTAAGCTTAAGTCTATACAGCCGAAGCCTAAGCCCACGCTGGAGCCTAAGCCTAAGGTTAAGCTCCGTCTAAACCCAAGCTCTAAGCCCCTAAGCCTAGGCCTAAGCCTCAGTCTCAAGCTATGCCCGTGCATAAGCTATCCCTATACATAACCCTATTCCAAAGCATAAAATGGAAATATTGACGAACACCTGGAAACTAACTTCCGTTTCAAAAAATATTTTTGTTGCGCTATTTTTCTCGCTTGCTACTCTCGCGTTGCGCTCAAAAAATTCCGAAACTTGCGAAGATCTCGAAAATCGAAAATTTTTTGGCCGGTCAAAAATTTACACTTTTGGACTGCGTCAGGGTGTTTCTTCCAATCGCGAATTATAGCCAAAATACCGAACACTTTAATTTATAGGTATCAACGAGAAGCCGAAGAGTCTGGAGCAAGTGTCGGTTCTTGCCTGAGCAACGCGATCGTTGCCGAGAATGAATGCCATCGTTGCCGGCTCGACTGTGACGCCAAAAAAGGCCGAGCGCCGAACATGTATTCTTGCGAGAAATTGATTTGCGATCCATGTTGCGCGTACGTTCAGCCAACTGAGATCTGCAACTTGTGCCGGGAGACTTTCCAGGACCATCGAGAATGGGGGGAGAAGGACGATATACCAAGGGCAATGGGTCGAAGAAGTTGGAGCAGTTCAAGTTGTAAAGCCAAAATCAGAAGAGTTGGATTATAGAAGCGCGACACAAAGCTGGATTCAGCAGCTTTATTCCGGCCAGATATTAAGCCCAAGCCTTCAGAACCCTCAAGCCCAAGAAGCCACCACTGAAGTCCAGATCGGAATCAAGCTTCCGGACGCCACGGCGGCGTCTTCGAGCGTTAAATGCTCATCATGTGATACCGAATGCTCAGTTACTACGCTGGCCGTATGCCAAAAATGTAATGACATGATTCTCTGCGGGAGTTGCATAGTTTCCAGCCATCTGGGACACCAATTAGTACCGCTAACCCAAGTGAGAACGGCACTGTTAGAAGCGAGCACCAGCAATGAACTAAAAACTCACTACAATGGACTGTATGCAAATATCAATGGCGTCCACCAGGCCATAGTTGAAAATCAATCAAAATTACAGAAAAATGTCGAAGATGGGATTGGAAAAGCCGGGTTGCAAACCGATTTTGATAAAAGCAAACGGATCTGTGATGGAATGCGCCAGGCGGCTGACCAATATGAGAAATGCTTTGAATTGTACCTGCCGCATGCCCGGATCTACAATGAACATCTGGAAAAGCTGCAAGAAACGATCGTCACATTTAT